CACTTTCCCCGTCACCCGCCGGTACAGGGGTCACCCCTTCCCCGTCACCCCGCTGCCCACGAGGGTCGCAGCCAGCACACGATACCATGGGACGGGTTATGAGACAGGCTGAGCTCTGCTGTCCCGGTCCCGGCGTGGCCTGAGCCGTGTCCCTGTGTCCTCCCCGGTGGAGTGACAGGTTGATGACACTGGGATCTGCCGTGCTGCAGGAATAGGTTGTTCCCACAAGCCGCCCCCTCTCCCCCGGCTGTCGGACTCATCCCTGATGCCGGGGAAGCTGAGGCGCAGCAGGCGGGAGGTGCTGGGGGAGAAGCAGTGGCGGAGCGCGGAGGAGAAGGGAAGTGCCCAGCGGGAGCAGCCCAAGCTCACCAGGTGGGTGCTGCCCCTCATGGGGTCACATCCCGCACCCCAGTCCCACACCCCACCTGTGCCCCTCGAGTCACCCCCTCCGATGCCTCCTTCCAGATCCAGGACCTATGAGTCCTCCTGCAAGGAGCCGGAGCAGGCGGCTGAGGGCAGGCAGGGACCCCCATCCCCCTCGGTGAGTCTTGGGGTAGCGGAGCTGTGGAGCAGGACCCCAGCCCCGTGGGCTCGGCTGGACGCTCTCTTGGGGCGGGGGCCGGGGGAGGGAGTGAGGGGCTGCAGGATACCCGCCGTGCTAGGGCCGGCCCCGAGCACCGACCCCCGCCCTCCCGCAGCTGAGCAAGCAGGACAGCAGCTACCGCCGGGCCTTCGGGGAGCTCGCCGAGCAGGACGTGCTGCTGGGCTGCTTCTCCTGCGCCTGGCAGAGAGAAATGCCCTACCACGGCCGCCTCTACGTGTCCTCCCGCCACATCTGCTTCCACTCCAACCTTCTGCTCAAGGACATCAAGGTGGGGCTGGAGCGGGCGTGGGGCAGGCAGGGGCACGGGTGGCAGCCGGGAACATGCTGACACAGCCTGTCCCCTGGCACAGGCCGTGGTCCCTGTCGCCTCCATCTCAGCCCTCAAAAAGACCAACACGGCGCTGCTGGTGCCCAACGCAATCAGCATCCGCACGGACAAGGGGGAGAAGGTGAGAGCGGGGCCAGTGCGGGGGCAGCCTCACCTGGGGCTGTCTGGAGTGTCTCGGTCCCCGCGGGCTCTGGGCCGTGACCGAGGGGGCAGCTCTGGCACAAATCCCCCTCTCGCTCCCCGGCAGTTCCTGTTTGTGTCGGTGCGCCAGCGAGAAGCCACGTACCAGCTCCTGAGGTCGGTGTGCAAACACCTGCAGGTAACGTGGGGACTGGATGGGCAGGGGGGCTCCATCCATCCATTGCAGGGCACCTCCCTTCATCTCTCCTTGTCCAGGGCAGCGGCCAGAGCCCTCGAGACTCAGTGAGCTCCGAGGAAACCCTTGGGAAGTCTCAGGTAAGGCCAGGGAATGGAGGGCAGGAGGGTACAACAGGAGGAGGGGTGGTCCCAGCCCCCTGGATGGAGTGGGCTGGGTGCAGTGGCTGGGAAGATGAGGGGGGGAACATGAAAAGCCCCAGCCCGAGGCAGCGCAGACCCCGGGACCTTCCCTTCTTGTGGGTGACACAGGTCCCATCAGGTCCTGCCCATGTCCCCATGGCCGTGGGGCAGGTGCCTCGGGGACACACATGGTGACTGGGGCTTGTCCTCTTCCAGATCTCGAGCCAGTCAGCCCTGGAGCAGAGCACCCCGGAGCCCAAGAGCCTCCCCGGATCCCTGGGTGAGCGGCGGCCCCGGTGCCCTGGCCCTGTCCCTGCCCGCAGCCGTGCCTCCCGGGCAGCTCTGGGCTCTGCTCCTCCCCACACACGCCTGGTCTGGGGGGGCGTGCGCGGCCCTCACTCCCCAGCCAGCATCCCCACAGCTCCAGGGAGTGCAGGATCAGCACTCTGGCCCCGTGTGCCCCCAGGACACACAGACCCCTCCCTGGGGCATTCATCGAGTGTCTTCTGGTCACCCGCAGATGAGCCCAACCCGAGATCAAGGCAGGCAGAGGATGAGGATGGCGAGGTGGCCCTGCTGATTCCCAGATGGGTGCCTGCAGCAGAGAAACGTGGCCTCTGGGGTGGGTCAGGGGGCTCGGGTTGGGGGGATGATCCTGGGGATTTACACCCTGGCAGAGCCGAGCACGGACTCTCGGTGCCACTAACACTGCCTTGTCCTGGCAGGGAGAGCCCACGCCGTGCTCTGGGCCTGGGTCACTGCACTTTGGTCCCGGATAAACCCCCTGAGAGAGCTGAGCTCTCTCAACATCATCATCACCATCTACCTGCTGCTGTGAGTCCCCAGGACCTGCTCCCAGCCCCGCTCCCCATCCCCACTGACACAGCCTCTCCATGGACAGGCCAGGGTCCCCACAGTTCCCCTGAGACCCTCATCCCCAGGGCGAGCACACGGGGGCCTGTCCTGGCCCTGCTCCTGCCCCGTGTGCCACCCTGTGCCCGCTGGCTGACGCTGGCCTGTCCCCAGCATGGTGGCCTTGCTGCTGTCCTCGGGGTACATCGGGCTGCGCATCGCGGAGCTGGAGCAGCAGCTGTCCTTCGCGGAGGCCGGCCCGCGCCTCAACCTGTCACCGCAGTGAGTGGGGGACACGGGGGGCCCTGTCCCCAGCACAGGCTCCTCCTCACCCTGCCTTCCCACAGGTACAAGAGAACGTGAGGCCACTGAGGACCATCAGCAGTGCTCCAGCCAGGCTCAGGGGCTGCTCTGAGCCCGTCCTTGGCCTCTCAGGGTGGCTCTGTCACCAAGTGCCTTCCAGCTCCCCACGATGCCTGGGGAGCCCACGGGCTGAGAGGCTCCATCTCCCTGTCTGCCCACCCTGAGCAGCAGCAGAAGAGACCCAGGGAGCTCCTGGCAGGGCAGGGAGCAGGGAAGGGGGGCTGGAGTCAGCAGCAACCCCCAGCCAGCCCTCCCTGCCCAGAGGGAGAGAGGGTCAAGCCCCAGGCAAGGCAGGGGCACAGAGAACAGAATATTTTGTTAATAAAGATTAATAAAAATCTATATTATTTTAATACTTATTATTTGCTAGGCCAGATGCTGCAGGATGAGCATGAACTAGTCCCCCATGCACCCCCTGATTCCCAAAACAGACCAGGACACAGCAGGACCCAGAGCTTTGACTCTGACTGGTGTAGGGAGGCAGCTCCAGGCGCTGATGTCCCAGGGGTCCAGGGAGCGGCAGAAGACCCTGAGCAGCCCTCTGGGGCAGTGGCTGCTGGTGACAATGGGAGGCAGAGGGGAAGGGGACAGTGGGGGGCACCAGGGAGCCCCAGGACCCTGCAGCTGGCCAGGCCCTGGCTGTTACCCTGCTCCTTCCCTAGGACAGGGCTCACCTGCCAGAGGAAGGTGTAGGGTCACAGGTACACGGTGGGGACAATGGGTTCCCACAGGTTCTGAGCATAAACTGGGGACAAGAGCAGAGTGGAGGCAGAGCAGAACCCGCACCCCACAAAATAATCCACCAGCCCAAAGCCCTGGAGCTTAATCCCTTTCTAGGCCAGTTAAGGGGCCCTGGGGCTTCCCTCAAGCACCAAGATGGGGAAACTGAGGCACTGACAGCTCCTTTCTCTGTGTCATTTCCTGGGCCATCCCTTCCTCAGACCCACAGCTCAGCTCCATGCCTGGGGCAGCAGAAGTGGGAGATGCCAAGCTCAGGGATCCTTGTTCTCCTCATCCTGCTGCTCAGCCCCATGGAGCAGCTCTGCCCCACAGCACCAGCCCGGGGGGGTCTTCCAGCAGCAGGCCTGGAACAAGGCACAGGGCTGTGGGCACAGGGCTGTACCCCACTGAGGGGTGCCCACGGAGGGGGTGTCCCCCCTGTGAGGGTCCCACCTGCATGGGGACAGCAGGACTGAGGGGTTCTGCATCCCCAGCCTAACTGCAGCTATAGCCTGGCAACTGCCCCACACCAAGGCCAGGGACCCCTTTTCGTCCTTCCTGCCATGCCTGGGGCACAGGGCAGGGCAGGCAGGGTGGCCGTGCCCTTTCCCAGCAGCAGGAAAGCAAACAGCAGCAGGAAGCTGGGAGCAATAAACCAGGTGAGATCTGTGCCAAGAAAGCTGGTACCTGCACAGGTGGGGTGGGGACCCTGGGGAGTTGCTGCACCCTTTGCTGTGGAGAAGCAAAGTGGAGCCATGGAGACCAATCCCAGTAAATTCATAACCTGTTTAATGACAGTTCAATTGCTTTACATGAAGGTTACAGCGTGCTCCATGTTTGTTTTCCATCACATGACACCTGGGATACAACGATGCCACAGACTTTTGTCACACAGCTCTGGGAGGACCCTGTGCCCGAGCCAGTGCCCACGGATCACACACACCGACACATCACCTCGGCTCTGCCCTCTTCTCTCTTGAGCAGCAGGTGACAGTGACAGTAACACCCTGAGACACCTGCACACACCCACCTGCACACGGATACAACTGGGAGCCCCTGCCTGGCAGCGAGGCAGAGAAGGTGCCGGTACCGGGCTGACAGCGAGCTCAGGGTGAGCAGCCTGTTCCTGCCATGCTCTGCCACCAACCGTGTGGCCACAGAACAGCCCTGGCTGGCAATCACTAACCCTGGCCTGGCAATCACTAACCCTGGCCTGGCAATCACCAGCCCCCTGCCAAGTGCAGTAAGAGAAGCCACCACGAGCCAACCTCCTCCCAAGGCAGACAGAAAAGTGAGGTGTAGACACAGGATGCAGTTTGGGAGAGTCCTTGGCAAGAAGGGACAATAGTGGGGGACAGAGCAATGAGGAGCTACCCCTGCTGTGCAGCTGGGAGCACTGGGCAGTGGCTGCAGTGCCCAGCTGGCACTGCCCACCCCAGAGCACTGCCACTCCCTCCAGCTTCTTGAGGAAGTTCCCCCATCACAGGGGGAGAGGCAATTCCACTCCTGTGGAGTCCCAGGGCACTGGGGAACCCAAACACCACCACACTCACCATACACCCCAGCTGGGTGCCCTGCTCCAGAACGGGCTGAACCCTCCTGTGCACCCCCAGCCCAAGCACCTCCACCCTCGCAGAGGAGAAAAGCAGTGTGTCCTGGGGGTGTGCACACTGCTATTCAGCAGGAGGCAATCCACAACAGGAAAACCCACAGCACAGCCACCAGCCTCCCCAGCCCCCCTGAACGGCCCTTTCCCCAGGTGATGACACCCACAACACACCATCTCTTCCTGCAGGTGACCCTTTACTTCAAACCCATTCCTCATTTGAATGATCCAACTTAATTTAACACCTCCTGGGTGCTTTGGGGTGCTCCCAACCCACGGTGATGTGGAACAGTGCCCACAAGTGGAACAAACAACACAAGACAGGCCCAGGGGTGACTTCAAACCATGCCTCACATCCCATGGCCAGAGCTACACTAAAGCAGTTGCACTCAAACAGTGCTTCAGAAACTTCATGGTAATTTCGTTTTGGTGGCAAGTGAGACTGTGAGATGACAAAGGGGCCTGTGGGCCTCGGAGCTGCCAGGGGGCTGCCAGCACCAGCTCCTCACCAGTGACTCCCAGTGTGTGTGACACAGGCACAGCACTGCCAGGGGGCTGATCCCAGCACCAGCTCCTCACCAGTGGCTCCCAGTGTGCGTGACACAGGCACGGGCGTGGTGGCACACGTGGTCCAGGCTGTACTGGCCTTCTCACACCTTGGCTCACCCTAAGGATACTGGTGGGACTGGGGACAGACAATCATATTCCTACCACCTGGTTTTAGGGAAAGAAGGCAGAGCAGACAAAACAACAAAGGGAAAAAAAAGCAAGGGAAAGCATTACCTATGCAATCTACAGGGAGAAGACAAGTCTATATACACAGCCAGGGAATTGCACATGGGAACAGGAAGCAACGCTGGGAGAGGGCAGGAGGCAGGCAGGGCCTGGGCAGGCACAGGCACAGGTCAGATGGAACAGGCTGTGCAGCCTGACAGCTTCTCTTAAATTAAAAGCACCACACACACACACACACACAGAGCATTTGTGATACACCCCATGGGCTCCAACACCAGCCAGAACTCTCGTCCCACACAACCTAAAAACCCCAAACCACACACCAAAACTCAACAGCAGGGCCCTGTGTGGGACTTGGAGATAACAAAAAAGCAACGCTGCAGCCCTGATTCAGGAGAGCCTCTCTTCCAGCCAGAAGAGGCCCTGCTCACCCCAAAAATCATATCTTTAGCATTTATTATTTTTCTCAAACACATCCCAACTGCTTTTGGCCTCATGGAGACTCCAGAGCAAGGCATCCACACAACAGCACCAAAGGAAGCTCCACATGCAGAGGTGGTTGAGTGGGTTTCTTTTTTTATAAAGTCCTTGCTTCTGCTCTCTGGTAACTCCCAGGATCAGCCCAGAAGATGAAACAGCAACTGCAGAACTTCCCGAATCTGCTCCCTTAGAGGTGAAGCTTTTTCAAGTCTCCTCCAAAGTCTAGAGCCCCAAAGTGTATTTGTTCAGAGGCAGCTGTCAAGCATGCCCAAAAAAATCAAGCTGTCTTACGGAATGATCATGTCAAGTACTACAGTACCTGTCTGGGGAAAAAATGAAAAGAAAGGAAAATAGGCAGTTTTCCAGTTTCTTCCTGGAATGGGGATGCCAGGCTATGAACAAAGCCCTTAGATGCCCAGCCTGGAGCTGTGCCCCTCGCACCAGCTGTACCGGAGCAGCCTGGCTGGCTCCTGCCTCCAGAGATGGCACTCTGGGACACAGAGCAGCACGCCAAAGCCCTTCCCACAGCAGCAAGGACAGGCTCCTCTCTCGCAGGAGGCACACCATGGCAGGGGGCATGGCCTCGGTCCAGTCTCAATGGTCCATGTCACACGAGTCCTGCCCAGCACCATCCCGACGGCCGGAGGACGCAGGGTTAACATTGCCCTTGTACCCGTTTCCCTTAATGAAGGATGAATCCAATAACCTTTGGCAGTTCCCTCCCCTCCCCACCCCGTCCCAAATACTGCCCAGCCCTGTGGGTCACAAGCACATATTTAATGAGCTGGGTCCTCCTGCAGTCCCACAGCTCTCCCTCCCCTTGGCTGGGCTCCGGAGGTCCATGCACGCCGAGGGAGTGGTCTGATCCTGGAATGTCAGGCTGTAGGTTCCCGGGGCACAGGGAGGGCGTTTATCGTATCCTGGTGAAGAGGTTGAGCACAGATACAGACTCCTGACAAGGGAACACAAAGCAGGGGGTAAATAGCTGTTACTCCACATGCTTCTGGGTTGGTTTGTTTTTAACCTGGTATCTCTAGCTCAGGGCATGACTCTAGCTCACAAATCAAAGTCCAACACCATAAATATTCCCATGGGTTTCTTCCAAACGGTAACATGTACACAGCTGGTCAGAGTGCCATTCCCAGAGCACTGCAGGCAGCTGTACCCCAGAGATGGCAAGAACTGGGGACCTCCAGGATCAATGCCAGCTTGCCCCAGTCCCTTTCTCCAAATCCCTCTGCCAGGGATCCAAGAAAGCTCTCAGAGCATCAGACACAATCTGCTTTTGGTGATGCCAAGGTGCCACTGGCAGAATCCATTATCCCATTTTCATCCAAACCCCCATTTTAAGCAGTTTTGTAAAGAGGCAGGGGATAATCATGGAATCACAGAATGGTTTGGGTCTCAAGGGGCCTTTAAGTTCATCTCCTTCCACCCTCTGCCATGGCTTGCTCCCAGCCCTGTCCAGCCTGGCCTTGGACACTGCCAGGGATCCAGGGGCAGCCCCAGCTGCTCTGGGAAACTTGTGCCAGGGCCTCTCCATCCTCGTGGGGAACAATTCTTTCCCAATATGCCATCTAACCCTGTCCTCTGGCACTGGGAAGCCATTTCCCCTTGTCCTGTCCCTCCAGGTCCTGTCCCAAGTCCCTCTCCAGCTCTCCTGGAGCCCCTTTAGGCACTAGAAGGAGCTGTAAGGTCTCCCTGGAACCTTCTCTTCTTCAGCAGGACACCCCCAGCTCTCCCAGCCTGCTGTCACCCGAGGGCTCAGCTGCTCTGCTCAGCAGCCCTGGACCAGCCTAGAGAGGGATGTTGTGTCACATCAGCCTTGGGCACAAAGGGCAACCTTTTACTTAAATCTCAGCAAAGCTGAATACTTTACTGCCCCAGCCCTTGATCTGCAGGAAGGGATCAGGGAGGAGGCAGCAGAGCAGAGCCAGTGTGGCCTGAGGTGCCCCAGGCAGCTGCCCCATGCCTGGCCTTACCTTTGTCGAGCGAGTTTTACTGAAGACGTTCCAGAAGCGTAAGGTTTCGTCTCCAGCTCCTGTGACAATGGCCTCCCCATCAGGGGACATTGCCTAAGGACAAGACAACAACCTTTAGCACCTGTCACATTTCAGAGGCTTGAAAACAAGACTTAGTTGGAATGCAGGAGAGATTTAATTGTCCTTCCTACTGGTGGTAGAAGCCAGCTACCTCCACTTCCAGGTGCCTCAGCAGCCTCAGGGGCAATTTGGGCCCTGGCACCTTATGGTGCAGCTGTGGAACCCATGGGGGGAGTATTGTGGAAAGAATATTGTGCTAAGAAATCCAAGCCATGTGTAACTGAGGCTGTTCCTGCCAGGATTATCAACCTGCCTGAAGGCAGGAAGATGATATGACTGGATTTTCTGGCTGTATTGGTTGCATACATTGGGATCTACCTCCCAAAACATTATCAGCATTTGTCAGCTCCACCATGAACTGCTGACACCCATGTAACAGTAACAGCAGATATGAGATGGATCAGGATTACCCACAACAAATGCTTAATTCCCTGGGCAGCAGTGATCAGTGAAGAGGTGTGAGAGTCTTCTGGGAGCAAGGAGAGAAGCTTGTGTTTCATAAAATCACAGAATCCCACAATGCTTTGGGTTGGAAGGGACCTTAAAGCACATCTCATTCTGCTCCCTCCCACTGTCCCAGGCTGCTCCAAGCCCTGTCCAGCCTGGCCTTGGGCACTGCCAGGGATCCAGGGGCAGCCACAGCTGCTCTGGGCAATCTGTGCCAGGGCCTTCCCATCCTCACAGGAAGAACTTCTTCCCAATATCCCATCTAACCCTGCCCTGTGGGAGTCTGAAGCCATTCCCCCTTCTCTGCTATTCCCGATCTTTTTCCAAAGTCCCTCTACAGCTCTCCTGGAGCCTCTGAGGCACTGGAAGGTCTCCCTGGAGCCTTCTCTTCTCCAGGCTCAGAAGTTTTCTTAGAAGAAAACTCAGATGTTTCCTCAGGAGAATTTGGCAGGCTTTACTATCATTAACAAAGCCTCACATTTCCATAGCAGCAAATGCAAGTGTCCCTTGCAGGCACAGAAATGTGTCAGAGTTTTGCACTGCTCATGGGGAGCGTTCACATTCCCGCCCAGGCAGCTTATGGTGCCACTGGCACTGCTGCTTTGGGTGCCAGCTGGGCACACCTCCAGCCAGGAGAGCAGCTGGAGCCACGGCCATCACTCACCAGGTACAGGACTCGGTAAGAGTGCCCTGTGAGCTTTGCTACTTGAGTTAGCGAGGGGTATTTCCAGACGAGGATCTGGTTCTGGGAGTATCCATGGGTGCTCACCTGAAAGGGGAGAGGGGAACATGAATCATACAATCATGCAATTGTTAAGGTTGGAAAAGACCTCCAAGATCATCGAGTCCAACAGCCTACAGACTACAACACTGCTCTGGGCAGCCCATTCCAGTGCCTGACTACCATGAAGAAATTTAAACCTCCCCTGGTGCAACTTGAGGCCATTTCCTGTTGTGCTTGTTACCTGGAAGAAGAGCCTGAATTCCACCTGGCCCCACCCTCCTGTCAGAGGAAGAGAAGGTGCCCCCTGAGTCTCTTTCTTTCCAGGCTGGATCCCCATAGCTGCTCCTCAATAGCCTTGTGCTCCAATAGCCCCTTCCCCAGCTCTGTTCCCTTCTCCGGACATGCTCCAGCCCCTCACTGTCTTTCTTGTTGTGAGGGGTCCAAAACTGACCCCAGCACCAGAGGTGCCTCAGCAGTGCCCAGAACAGGGAGGCAGTCACTGCCCTGGTCCTGCTGGCCACACCCTGGTTGGTACAAACTGGGATTCCCTTGGCCTCCTTGCCCACCTGGGCACACCTGGCTCATGCTGCCCACGCTCCCCAGCACAGGGAAGGACTCACCAGCTCGTTGGCGTGTTTGGACCAGGCCAGGTTGCACACCTGGGAGCCGGTGTCGATGCACTGCAGGGGCTGCCCTGTCAGCGTGTTCCAGAAGCGGATGCAGCGGTCGGCCGTGCCTCCCCCTGAGGCCAGCAGCCCGTGCTGGTGTGGGGACCAGGCAATGGCCTTGACTGCTGCCAGGTGCTCTGTGTACTGCTGGACAGGACTCAGGCTGGAGTGATTCCAGACAAGGAGCTGGCAGAGAGAAGAGACATGATCAAACCTGTGCCTCAGTCCTTTGTCCACTACACCCACGAGGCACAGTGGGACTGATGAGGCCAGCTGGGCAACAAGCTGATTTCCCATAGCTCTGCTCAGACATGCACAGCTCCACTCTGCACTTCACAGAATCATGGAATGGCTTGGGTTGGTTCAAGCTCATTTAGTTCAAATCCCTGCCAAGGGCAGAGACACCCTTTATAGACCAGGCTGCTCTCAGCCCCATCCGACCTGGCCTTGAACACTTCCAGGGATGGGGCAGTCACACCCACCCTGACACCACACTCAGCTGAGGAGTGTCCTACCCCCAGGCCATGTGGCAGGAACAGGCCCTAAGATAAGGGAATAAATCTAAAGAAGCACTGACACTGAAGGGGGCCTCAGACCCTGCTGTTGTCTTTCTGGCTGTATCATTCCAGAACACATCCAGAAATCTGCTCAGCTCATTAGGAGTTATTCTGAGCAGGAGGAACTCGGTCCAACCATGCTGTCACACAGGCACTGGGCACATTCCCTACTTAGCAACCCGCTCCAAAGGGCTTGGAACCTGCTTTTTTGTGACAGATGCTTCTCCCATATGGTGCTCAGTGAGCTGCAAGCCTGTGCTCCAGGTATGAGAACTCACAGATCTCTACCTCAGCTTCCTGTGCATACAAACATTACTGCAACAAACGTGACCATACACTACCAAACAAAGCCAGGAAGGGCAGCTTAGCAGTGGCTTTGTTGAACTCAACCCCCTGAGCCAAGCTAGAGATTTAATTAGCTAAATACAGAAACAAAATTAAACTTGCCTTTCTCATTTTATTAGGAAGAGAAGACTGAGTAGAAGCTTAGCATGATTTATGTTTGGTCATGGTCCAACAACCAAAACAAAAGTCCTTTTCAGAGAGGCCAAACATCCTTAAAGAATCACTGAACCATTAAGGTTGGAAAAGACCTTTAAGATCGAGTCCAACCTTTGACCTAATCCCATCGTGCCCAGTAAACCATATTGCATATCCACTTGTTTTTTTAACACTTCCAGGAATGGCAACTCCCCCACTGCTCTGGGCAGCCTGTTCCAGCGCTTAACCACTCTTTCAGCAAAGAAATTTTTCCCTAAGCATAGAACCATACAATGGTT